CAAACAACATTTTCCAAAAGACCAAAAAAGTGACAAAGTATATTTTAACAAAACGCATTTGACTAGCAGGTCGAACAATGAATGTTCTTAAACCCTGCTGACTGCCATTGGCGATTGCCAAATAAAATGATCACCAGATGTAGCAAAATGAATCTTAAATATTAATTTAATATCAAACAGAAAACAATAAACTTGTGAAAAAGATGGTATACCGTAAATAAAAGGTGCAAAAATTAGTACACCATATCCAGATTTCGACAATTAATGTCTTTTCAGTGATGTTGGGAATCGAAACCGTATTTGGAAGGCCATATAATTTACCTCAATTTAGGATAGACTCTTGAATTTTGAAGAGTCAAAATAGGATGAACGGAACATATAAACCCGAAGGCAAATATAATACAAGCCCAAACGAAAAAATATAAACAATTCTAAATTGAAAACAACGTTCAAACCTATGATTGCGTTGGATAAAAACCGCAGTTTTTATACGACCGCAAAAAATTTTTGTGGTCGTATATTGGTATGATGTTGGCGTCATCGTCGTCGTCGTCCGAAGACACATTAGTTTTCGCACTCTAACTTTAGTTTAAGTGAATGGATCTCAATGAAATTTTACCATAAGGTTCAATACCACAAAAGGAAGGTTGGGATTGATTTTGGGGGTTATGGTACCAATAATTGAGGAAAAAGGGGCCAAAAATAAGCATTTTTGTAACTTCCAGACATAACTTGTGTGTAAGTGTATGGATCTCTCTGACATTGTACCACAAGGTTCCATATCACAAAGGGAAGGCTTGGATTGATTTTGGGGGTAATTGCCTCCAAATTTTAGGAATTAGGGGCCAAAAAGGGGCAAAAAACAAGCATTTTTCTAGTTTCATGACAATAACTTGTGTGTAAGTGTATGGATCTTTATGAAATTGTACTACAAGGTTTCATATTACAAAGGGAAAGCTGGAATTGAGTTTGGGGGTAATTGCCCAAAACATTTAGGAATAAGGGGCCAAAAATAAGCATTTTTCTAGTTTCCAGACAATAACTTGTGTTCAAGTGTATGGATCTCTCTGAAATTGTACTGCAAGGTACCATACCACAAAGGGAAGGCTGGGATTGAGTTTGGGGGTGATGAATCATAAGGGGGTTCAAAAAATTGGGGGGGGTGGGGGATTTTTTTTTCCTTTTTTTTTCTTTAAAATTTACCATTTTAAATTGGTTATTTCTGATTAGTATATAAAAGCAAATAATAATGATATGGTTTGAATAGGTAAATTAAAAATTTTTAAGTTCTTAGACCACTTTCATTTTGTGTCAGAAACCTATGCTGTGTCAAATATTTAATTACAATCCAAATTCAGTGTTGTATCAAGCTTGAATGTTGTGTCCATACTTCCCCCAACTGTTCAGGGTTCGACCTCTGCGGTCGTATCAAGCTGCGCCCCAGCAGAGCATTTTATTATATGTGTGCATGCAAAACAAATATATATATAAAATTGAGAATGGAAATGGGGAATGTGTCAAAGAGACAATAACCCGACCATAGAACAGACAACAGCAGAAGGTCTTCAATGCAGCGAGAAATTCCCCAACCTTCAGCTGGCCCCTAAACAAATATATATATAGAGATGTTGATGGATTAGCTTTTAATGTCCAGTAGTAAATATTACATATAAGGACATGAACATTTTAATGTGATGAATATGAACCCTACTTTGTACTAGACCAACACAGCTCAAATTTCTGATAATAAGGTAACAATCCACAGGAAGACAGGTCACACTAACCAGACATATTATTCTGACTGCCAGCTGACCAGTCTTTGTTTTAATGCTCAGTACAGAAGCAGCAAAAAACAATTTTTCAAATTTAATGTTGACCCAGCAGAGGAATAAACCCACAACCTCCTGCACTTCAGGCAAGCAGACTACCACGCTTTTATCTAAATAATATCCCAGAAAAAAACTAAATAAAAAAGAAAACTGGTAATTAAAATATGTAAATTTTCAGTACAATTATAGAACTAAACTGGAAAGGTCAAGTTAACCTTAGTCCACCCTTAATGAATTGTTTGTTTGATGTTGCCTACCCATGACTCGACGATTGGGTAGGTAGGGATTTTTATGCCCCGCCGTAACGGAGGGGGCATTAAGTTTTACCCTTGTCCGTCTGTCCGTACATCCCAAAGTTGGTGTCCGTTCTCTAACTTTAGTTTGCCTCAACCAAATGTTATGAAACTTATACTTAATGTTTATTACCACAAACACAGATCAAGTTTGAATTTTGGTGGCGTCACTTTAACTGTTCTAGATTTATGCCCCTTTACAAATGGAAAAATTGCTGAATTTTTCGTTTCCGTTCTCTAACTTAAGTTTGCCTTAACCAAATGTTATGAAACTTATCCACAATACTTATTACCACAAAACTCAGTTCAAGTATAAATTTGGGTAGCGTCACTTTTACCGTTCTTCAGTTATGTCTCTTTATAACTTTATATGATATGCAAGCGGGGGCATCATCTGTGTCCCATGGACACATTCCCCATTTATTTTTTATTTTTTTTGCCAACAACATATGTTATATGTTTTAGACAAGAAACAATGTTAGAGCAGCAAAAAATCTTTAAAAAAAATAATTTTGAAGGATTTGTATTCTAACATTATTAGGGTAGGCAACATCAAACAATTTAAATTTTGTTTTCTGCCTTAGCTGAATTTGGTTCTTCTTTCTAGATCCCTTTTGGTCTCTGTTAGCTCCCAACATTTCTACATATCCCTGGCTTTCAAATATTTGGGTTTGACCATTCCTGGTCAATCTAGAAAAACTTTTCAAACACTCAAAATATATTAGTTGTTATTTTCATTTACCTCCCCTTTATAAAGCAAATTTATGAATTTTCAACTCATCTGGACAAAAGGGTCATCGCTTAAAGTCTGTCATCTATCATTTCCCATTTTCTATTAACCTTTACAAAAATCCTTACCTCTGAATCTACTTGACCAATTGGTACCAAACTTGGCCACAATCATCCTTTTGGTATTTAGTTTAAATGTTTAAGGGCAGACGATACAGTTTTGATCCCACAGTGAATTTTTTACTTAGATTTGCATAAAAGCTATTTTTAACCTAGACAATTTAAATATGTAATAAAAAATATACCTCCATGTGCTACTTTTAGAGATTAATTACACCTTATGTAAGAATCCTGGGTTTTGATTGGTTGATAGCCAGTGTATTTTTCACCAAATTACTTTTATCAAATGAATATCGTTCATTTTTAAACAGCGCCGGGGTATATGCAAAAAGGATATGCCTTTTTTACCCTCTCTGCCGTGGTATTTGCCAAAAAATACTCTATCCGACTGGACGCTTGTAATGTCACAATCATCAATGCGTTTTATGTCACGATCATCAATGCGTTTTGTACGTTAACATTTGGTGTAATTAAACAGATATAGCATGTTCTTGAGGGGTATTTGCGAAAAATACCAGTCTTGAGAATGAATTTCCATCGCCTTACGGCTCGCGGTTTTAACATTCTCTCGACTGGTATTTTTCGCAAATACCCTCCTTAACATGATATATCTGTTCAAAATATGACCAAAATTTTAGACATTTACCCCAAATTTCAGTTTCTCTGACATTTCTATCCTTTGGACAAACATACATAACTTTTTTGTTTCAAAAGATACACTTGTGCAGATTTCTGTAAAAACATCTGGAATATCTTCTTTACGTAAGTTATATATTTGTGTAACAATTCGTAGGAAAAAATTCATTTTTATACGACCGCAAAAAAATTTTGCGGTCGTATATTGGTATGACGTTGGCGTCGTCTTAGTCCGAAGACACATTGGTTTTCGCACTCTTACTTTAGTTTAAGTGAATGAATCTCTATGAAATTTTACCATAAGGTTCAATACCACAAAAGGAAGGTTGGGATTGATTTTGGGGGTTATGGTACCAATAATTGAGGGAAAAGGGGCCAAAAATAAGCATTTTTGTAACTTCCAGACATAACTTGTGTGTTAGTGTATGGATCTCTCTGACATTGTACCACAAGGTTCCATATCACACAGGGAATGCTGGGATTGATTAAGGGGGTAATTGCCTCAAAATATTAGGAATTAGGGGCCAAAAAAGGGGCAAAAAACAAGCATTTTTCTAGTTTCATGACAATAACTTGTGTGTAAACGTATGGATCTTTCTGAAATTGTACTACAAGGTTCCATATCACAAAGGGAAAGCTGGAATTGAGTTTGGGGGTAATTGCCCAAAACGTTTAGGAATAAGGGGCCAAAAATAAGCATTTTTCTAGTTTCCAGACAATAACTTGTGTTCAAGTGTATGGATGTCTCTGAAATTGTACTGCAAGGTACCATACCACAAAGGGAAGGCTGGGATTGATTTTGGGGGTAATTGCTTCAAAATTTTAGGAATTAAGGGCCAAAAAAGAAGCAAAAAACAAGCATTTTTCTAGTTTCAGGACAATAACTTGTGTGTAAGTGTATGGATCTTTATGAAATTGTACTACAAGGTTCCATATCACAAAGGGAAAGCTGGGTTTGAGTTTGGGAGTAATTGCCCTATACATTTAGAAATTTGGGGCCAAAAAACAAGCATTTTTTTAGTTTCCAGACAATAACTTGTGTTCAAGTGTATGGATCTCTCTGAAATTGTACTGCAGGTACCATACCACAAAGGGAAGGCTGGGATTGAGTTTGGGGGTGATGAATCATAAGGGGGTTCAAAAAATTGGGAGGGGGGATTTTTTTTTTCTTTAAAATTTTCCGTTTTAAATTGGTTATTTCTGATTTATATATAAAAGCAAATAATAATGATATGGTTTGAATAGGTAAATTAAAAAAATTTAAGTTCTTAGACCACATTCATTCTGTGTCAGAAACCTGTGCTGTGTCAAATATTTAATCACAATCCAAATTCAGTGCTGTATCAAGCTTGAATGTTGTGTCCATACTTGCCCCAACTGTTCAGGGTACCACCTCTGCGGTCGTATCAAGCTTGAATGTTGTGTCCATACTTGCCCCAACTGTTCAGGGTACCACCTCTGCGGTCGTATCAAGCTGCGCCCAGCAGAGCATTTTATTTAAAATTTTCATGATTTTAGGGAAAAAACCAGCATTTTTTGCTCTGTATATTTATCTAATTTTAAAAAAAATCATTGGTGATTTGTTCAAAAAAATTGGTATAAATAATCTTTATATATAATTAAGCCAAATGTCATTTTTTAAGAGGGTCCATGTACTCGTTTTCAAAGTAATGGTTAAAATCAGTTGAAAAATGAATATTCTTATGCCCCCAGCTGTAGCGGAGGGGGCATTAAGTTTTACCCTTGTCCGTCTGTACGTCCCGAAATTAGTTTCCGTTCTCTAACTTTAGTTTGCCTCAACCAAATGTTATGAAACTTGCACACAATGCTTATTACCAAAAAACACAGATCAAGTTTGAATTTTGGTGGTGTCATTTTTACTGTTCTAGAGTTATGCCCCTTTACAAATGGAAAAAGTGCTGAAATTTTTGTTTTTGTTTTCTAACTTAAGGTTGCCTCAACCAAATTTTATTAAACTTATACACAATGCTTATTACCACAAAACTCAGATCAAGTACTAATTTTTTGTAGTGTAACTTTTACCGTACTTGAGTTATGTCCCTTTATAACGTTATATCCAAGAGGGGGCATCATCTGTGTCCCATTTGACACATTCCCCATTTATTTCCATATGTCACAGGTTGACGTCAAAAAAAATAACATCATTACCTCCCCTGTAACTGTATCGTATGCCATTAGATATGTGTCCGCTGACTAGCATGCATATGGCCACCAACACTAAAAATAGAACATAGGAGTAAAATGTGAGTTTATCATTAATATCTTGAAAACCATTATAGATTTTTTTTGTAAATGTACGGAATGTCATGATCTAACTACTGTAGATTTTTACCAAAATTGTCAGATCAAATTTTGGTGATTTTGGTTATTATCTGAAAATCTATTATAGATATGTCCTTCAGACAGGGCTCATCTGACCTCAACCTCATTTCATGGATCAGTGTTAATTTTTTATGGTCATTGCAGATGAATGGAATGATTGTAAGGTTTACAAGTCTATCTGGCAGGGTTCATCTGATCTTGTCCTCATTGGCAGGGTTCATTGGTCAATGATATGTTTTAATGGTTAAGTCCGCTTCTCCTATACTATAAGCCATAGGTTAATTAAATGTGGTGTATGGAATGATTGCCATAAGTATATATCTGTCTTGCAGAGTTCATCTGACCTTGACCTTGAGATATTATTGAAAAGATAATCATAATAAATGCAAAAACTACTTACCTTTTCATGATATTATTTTCCAAGCCATGTGGTCAACCATGCTTGTTCGATTAATTCTACTTTCGGTTTAGAAACTCAGAATTTAAATTAAAACAGAAGGCAAACAAATCCAGGGTTTATTTTTTCCCTTTGATCGTTTAAGTGTCACCAAATATAAATAGATAGGTACTCGTAGAAATAGTTTGTAAAATACAACTAACACAGAACATAAAGGTATAATTACTAATTAAATCCCCTGGTTTCATTAACATTAAACAACACAGGGATGAACCTTTCAACTTGTTCTTTGTGTCATTGTTGTAAGGATAAGGGACATTAACAACTATTAGTTCAATAAAATATTTGAAGTTAGTAAAAAGAAAAAACAAAAGATAATGTAACTTAATGTAATACTTGTCGTTTAACCTTTTTTTCTATGACTTTCAACATCAGTTCAATCTTGATCAGTACAGCAGGCAAGACATTTCAGTATGTGTACTCTTGTAATATGCCTTCGCATATATTTCATTGTTGAATAATTTTAGAATATTGGTACAGGTTAATATGTGCAATAAAATTTTTGGTTCTTCAGCTTTTTACAGGTGGCAATTGAAAGCCATACTACGAAAACAGCATTAAGAAACAGACGAGCTTCTGAAAGTGACACTATGCATGACGTTATGTCTGGGGCAACACGTCAGGTCAACATTATGCAGATGTTATCAAAAGCTCAAGATGAATATGACAAGGTATGTTAAATATGATTGTATTGCAGAGTAACATAGTGCTTATAAGGCTCTGTCTATCTGTCTGTCCATCCGTCAGCTCTGCTATGTCATAGGATCAGTGAAGATTGCTTTTACCAATTTCAGAAATTTTAATGCACTATGTTTATACCTACCAAAGGATTTCCATTTTGGTTTTTGTTTTTTTAACTTTGACAAAAATTTGATAAAAAAACTTCAAAAATTATCTTTAAATTGATTGATCTAGAACTAAAGAGAAAACTTTATTTTGATGCACATAAAAACATAAGATTTCAATATTTGATTCATTATTAAGAACTCAATTAATTTTTTTCCTTTACTTCGACACATCAGGGTAAATTTATGACAATTTTTCTTCAATGGGGCTTCAGGGGCATCGGTGACCGAGTGGTTACACTGAGGTGAGTTCGAAACCCGCTCTTGCGGGTGCACTCGACTCCAATCTTAATTGACTAGGATTGTCAGTTTTCCTATCGAAGGTTGGTGGTTTTCTCTGGGCACTCCGGCTTCCTCCACCAATAAAAACTGGCCGCCACGAAATAGCCCAAAAGCGGTGCTTAAAAGTGGCGTTAAAACACCAAAAATCAATCAATCAAAATCAATTGGGCTTCAAAATATACTTGGGTTAACGGAGATTTTGAATCAACCAAGTTCAACTCATCAGAGTTAAAAATGTCTTGAAGAAACAGGAATTCTACCAGGACTGACAAAATACCACAACTTATCTGACAGGTTCAACTGTAATATTTTCAGGCTCATTCGATGCTAACAGTAGCGAAAAAGGGTGTTTAACCCTTGAGGATTAAGGCTAATTCTACCCTCTAACAAAGATGGCTACCATTACTATGACTATACTGCTGATTGTCAAATAATGACGTAAAAGCATGCATTTGTATTTATATATTAATGCGTCTCAAGAGTATTACAAGTTTCTGTTATTCAATAGTGCTTAAATGGGAACCTAAGTCATTTCAAAATGGCAGACTTGACTAGGATGCTTTTATATCAGATATTTGTAGTGTACATAATTGATCTAATCATGATATAAAAACATGCAATGATTGGCAGTATAAAAGCAAAACAACAAACACAGACATGTGCAAATTATTGTAATTTATTTTTGTTTTTTCTGTAAATTAAATAACTGGTTATTGTTACTTAAATATCAGAAGATGTGGTATGAGTGCCAATGAGACAACTCTCCATCCAAGTCACAATTTGTAAAAGTAAACCATTATAGATCAAAGAACTTAGATTTAGTCAGTTTTTATATGTCCCTTGTAATGGAAGGGAGTTTGATTGAATGGTTGGTTTCAAGGTCATGTTGATATTGAGAAATGTTTCTCTGTTTACATAATGACAAGTATAGCAACAGTTATGTCAGATGTAATTAGTACCTATATTATTCTCTTCTTTGATTCACAATTATATAACGTTATACTCATAGTTTAATACTGTCAGTGCTTAACTAAGATATCATTTAATATTAATGTAACTGTATATAACAGAGCCCTTGACATTCATTATGCTTTCTTTATTATCCAGACAGACTATATCTTATTAGGGCTTCTCTAAAACTTGGGATAGTCATTCTATTATAGGAGTGGCATGGTAACCAACCAACATTTTAAACCTTTATTATCCAGACAGACTATATCTTATTAGGGCTTCTCTAAAACTTGGGATAGTCATTCTATTATAGGAGTGGCATGGTAACCAACCAACATTTTAAACCTTTATTATCCAGACAGACTATATCTTATTAGGGCTTCTCTAAAACTTGGGAGAGTGATTCTGTTATAGGAGTGGCATGATAACCAACCAAGTTTTTTAAGCTTTATTATCCAGACAGACTATATCTTATTAGGGCTTCTCTAAAACTTGGGATAGCAATTCTGTTATAGGAGTGGCATGACAACCCACCAAGGTTTTAAGGCTTTATTATCCAGACAGACTATATCTTGTTAGGGCTTCTCTAAAACTTGGGATAGGAATTCTGTTATAGGAGTGGCATGATAACCAACCAAGTTTTTAAAGCTTTATTATCCAGACAGACAATATCTTATTAGGGCTTCTCTAAAACTTGGGATAGGGATTCTATCATAGGAGTGGCATGATAACCAACCAACGTTTTAAACCTTTATTATCCAGAAAAACTATATGTCTTATTAGGGCTTCTCTAAAACTTGGGATAGTCATTCTGTTATAGGAGTGGCATGATAACCAACCAACGTTTTAAACCTTTATTATTCAGACAGACAATATCTTATTAGAGCTTCTCTAAAACTTGGGATAGGGATTCTGTTATAGGAGTGGCATGATAACCAACCAACGTTTTAAACCTTTATTATTCAGACAGACTATAACTTATTAGGGCTTCTCTAAAACTTGGGATAGTGATTCTGTTATAGGAGTGGCATGATAACCAACCAACGTTTTAAACCTTTATTATCCAGACAGACTATATCTTGTTAGGGCTTCTCTAAAACTTGGGATAGGGATTCTGTTATAGGAGTGGCATGATAACCAACCAAGTTTTTAAAGCTTTATTATCCAGACAGACTATATCTTATTAGGGCTTCTCTAAAACTTGGGATAGTGATTCTGTTATAGGAGTGGCATGATAACCAACCAACGTTTTAAACCTTTATTATCCAGACAGACTATATCTTGTTAGGGCTTCTCTAAAACTTGGGATGGTGATTTTGTTATAGGAGTGGCATGACAACCAACCAATGTTTGTTAAGCTTTATTATCCAGACAGACTATATCTTGTTAGGGCTTCTCTAAAACTTGGGATAGTGATTCTGTTATAGGAGTGGCATGACAACCAACCAATGTTTTATAGCTTTATTATTCAGACAGACTATATCTTGTTAGGGCTTCTCTAAAACTTGGGATAGTGATTCTGTTATAGGAGTGGCATGACAACCAACCAACGTTTTAAAGCTTTATTATTCAGACAGACTATATCTTGTTAGGGCTTCTCTAAAACTTGGGATAGTGATTCTGTTATAGGAGTGGCATGACAACCAACCAACGTTTTAAAGGTTTGTTATATCCAGCACAGTTGACTGTATGTTGATAAATAAATCATCCAGCCCATATTTTTATGTATACTGATGACTGTTGACTTGTTTATGTACCATACAACTGTGCATTGATTGTCTGGTTTACAAATATTGGAGTTCCAGTCAAGTGATCCAGCCCATAATACTTAGCCATTGTTCTGTATGTAAATATGAGTTTAAGTGTTATGATGTGTTTGATATTACCAGAATGGTATGATAAAGGATTAATTTTATCTTTACAGCTAATAGGAACCATGTGGTTATGTAAAGTATATTGTTTATTTGTCACGTAGAGAAGAAAAGAAATGTTGAAGGTTCATTCAGTGCCCCATTTTATTTTCTAGAGGTTATTTAATACATGTAATTTGCATTTAAAGGGAAAAAATTGAAGTCAAACAGCAACTTAATTTTCAACTAATACACTTGATATAGTTCCTATGTTAATCAAAATTTATGATATATTACTATCTTTAATTGAAGTAAAAAGGTCTTACGTCACTTTTAAATAGTTGATTAGAAATTATGATAGTATTTTATCAATATCTTATGCTTGTGGAAGCAAAATTCAGTAAAAGCTGTGCATTGATATCAAAGTTGATTACCCACATATTTTTAGATATACAAATAAATCTCTGTTACCCAAAATAAATTATTAACAGTTGACATAAACAGTTAAACAGAATTCAGTCATGTATAATCCCAAGTTTTTTACTACACAATTCAAATTTCCAGGCAGGGTGCAGATTATAAAGTACAAGCAAGAAATAAGAAAATGCTAAAAACACATGCTTGGCAAAGAAGAGGGCTCCCTAATTTTTTGTAAATTCTTGAATCATTTAATCATTTGTCTAATCATTGTTTTTTTAGGCAATTTTATTATAAAATCAAAGTATATACTGGTAGTTATCGAAATCTTAAGCTTTTGAACAAACTTCTTTCTTGTAGCTTTGAAAAATATTGTTAAATCTGCCTAACAATATATAAAGTCAAGAAAGTAACTGGTCATTCACTTGGATTTGGTGTTTAAACAGCTACAGTCTTTCAGTCTGCACTTTTAGCCACTAGTCTGATGCCCCAGACTAGTAACATTTTATTCGGACTAGGGAGTTTTTGCAAAACTTTGATTAGACATATAAAAAAAATGCCAGAATATTGGTCTTTGGACTAGAAGTTTGAAAAGATTTTGGTGCAGACTGGACTCTTTTCTTGTTGCTTTAAATCCTTCTGACATTAAAGAGTTGAATAAACTGAACAATATTTACAAAATTACAGAGGCCTCAAAGTTGTCTAAGTACTTTATCGGCAATAATCAATAACCTTTTTAACTGGTGAGGTATGGTCTGATTGATTGATGTCTAGATTTGAATATTACTGTATATTAGGAGACTGAAATATCTTTGATAGATGTTAAAGTTGAGTGAAGTTTTCTTTAAGAATCTCTTCTATACTAAAAGGCACATTCCATATCTAATTCTAGGGACTGTTTCCAATAAGTTACCTTAAAAAAAAGTCCTGGGTTCCATACATCCAGATTAGAAGACAGGTTCCCACCAGGTTGATCCTATTTAGCTGTGACTGTGAAATTATAAGAAGAAAATTTGCTAAGGAAACTATGATATATATATTTATATTTTACAAAACTTAATAGTTCCAAACTAAAGTCATATAGAATTACTGGTATTAATATAATGTGATATCATATCAAAACCATAGAATACCTATGGGAGTCAAATAAGTCATTTTGACAGAATAATACTAATGATAATCTTACTTCCTATATATATTTTTCTTGCTATTAGAAAAACTCAACATGTGAGGTATTTCTACAGCCTGTTAATACGATGTTTTTGTGTGATTCACTAATTGTTATACAGTAATTATCTAACTAGTAGTGATTATCCACATAATTGTTGTTTAGGATGCTTGTAAGATAAGTAATTTTTATGGCGTAAAAAAGCAAAAGAAAGTTTTCACAATGTTATTAGCTCACAGATCAGTGCAAAGAGCCATGTGAACTTTTGCCATCATTTGGCGTCCATCATCTGCCGTAAACTAAAAAAAAAAAGGCTACTGATACAATTTAAACCAAACTTACATGATTGATTCTTAGGGTGGCTTGAGTATATATTGTGAATTATCAGGCAGCATGGACAACATGGCTCAAAATGAAACATAATGGTAAAATGCAAAAAATTGTTTTATATCTTGAAAAGAACAAAAGATAGAGAAAATCTGATGCAGGTAATCATTCTCAAAATGTCCAGATTTATTGGACCCGTCTACGATAATAAAGGGGCACTATGTTTTTCAGTGTGTGCATCCGTTAGTCCCCTATTGTTAAAGTTTTGGTTTAAGGTAGTCTGTGGTCACATTCAGACATTCAAGGTGGTATGTCAATATTGAAACAAATATATAGTTTACGTGTATGTGATTATCATGGCATGCCTTTCAGCTTTTCATTTCATGTTTCAGTCCAAGAAGAAACCAGATCCTAAACCTTTCATAGATAATCCTAATGCATCAGCTACCAAATCCTCAGATCTCATACGGCCCAGACCTGTGAAGGCAGGAACGGAGGAATCAGGTTAGTTCTTCTTTTAAATGTTACCTACATATTTACAGCTGCCCTCAGATCTCATACGGCCCAGACCTGTTAAGGCAGGAACGGAGGAATCAGGTTAGTTCTTCTTTTAAATGTTACCTACATATTTACAGCAGCCCTCAGATCTCATACGGCCCAGACCTGTTAAGGCAGAAACGGAGGACTCAGGTTAGTTCTTCTTTTAGATGTTACCTACATATTTACAGCAGCCCTCAGATCTCATACGGCCCAGACCTGTTAAGGCAGGAACGGAGGACTCACGTTAGTTTTCAAATGTGACCTACCTATCAACAGCCATTAAAAGGAACTAGTAGGATATTATATGCCTAACTTCATATTCAATATGTTTTCGAACAAATTTTTAAAATAAGATGAGTTACTTGGTTAAATTTTAATGAGACAGCAACCAATCAAAATAGTTTGACAAAAATAGACAACTTGGGAATTCTATACATACTCAATGAGGAACAATTAGTCAAGCTATATATTGTCTTGGGTCTAAACAAGCTTACTATGGTTTCAATAGAAAGTACCAAAGATCTCACATCAACATATAGTTCCTACATATAGATTAACCAAAAAATATGACAGTGAGACATTTCTTTAAAATTCATGAAGTTTTCTGAATAAGATTCTAAGCAGCATATAAGCTTTGATAGTTGATTCAATACTCCAAGGCATATTTGGATTTAAGGTATCTTCTGTTCAGGAATCTAATCAATAATGGTTTAGTCCATATTTACTGGTGACTATCACAAGTTTAGTAGTTTACCAGTACAAAGTATCTGCATCACCATGGATTATCCCTACAAATACAATGTATCTGCGTCACCATGGATTAACTTTTACATTGGTATATCACCATTCCATCAGTAATTATTAGATGTCTCAATTGATCATGACCATACAGTGTTTTACAGGCAGTTGCAGATATTTACCATAAAGACTAAAAGTGTCTTTTTAGTGAGGCTTGTTTTTGTCTCTCCAGTGACGAAAGTCACAGTATGCGAGACAAGAATTACAATCTGTCAGTGGCGGCAATGGAAACTATTTGTATAGAGCTCTATATTTCAGAAGATACAAGACCCATGTAGATACCTTATGGTATGAAGTTTTCACCTGACCCTGACCTCATTATATGGATCAGTCATCAAGGTTAAAGTCATGTGATTAGGTCCGTTTCTCAGATACTAAAAGCTGTATATCAACTATATGCCGTGTATAGAATGATTATAAGGTGTACATGTCTGTCTGGCAGGTGTCATCTGACCTTGACCTCATTTTCATGGTTCATTGATCAATGTTAAGTTTTTGTCTTTGTGTCTGTTTTACAAATACTATAAGCAGTGGGTCAACTATATTTGGTGTATGTAAGGTGAACATGTCTGTCTGGCAGCTATTATCCAACCTTGACCTCACTTTCATGGTTTGTTGGTTAATGATAAAATTTTGTGTTTTGGTCTGTTTTTAAAGGCAGTGCTTTAATGCCTTTCTAGTTGCCGGGTTAATCCTTCCTTCCGCGATATCCAACTTATCTACGTGGGGGGTCATTAGACTCCAAGTAGATCCGGAAATGTTGATTTCTCTCCTCTTCTTATTGCGATGTAAAATGTTTTTTGTTTCATTTCATTTACATTGGGAAATAGAGAAACGATCATTGTGTTTTGTTAGTTTTAAAAACTTTTGATATATTAGTATTTTGCATTATAAGCAGTCAACCGATTGACAAACTAGAATTATTTGAATTCCGTGTGGAAAGAGCTCGGGTTAATTTCGAGTGTTATCTGCAATCTAGATGTTTATAAATCATTTCAGTCGTTGATATAATAATTAAAGGTCGACTGAACATGAATTATATTATACAATTTAAAGCGCATTTCTGTTTATGCACGTGAACCCGTCTAACGTTATTTTCGCAGTTATATAAAGTAGCAAATTATCGTTCCTGAATAGGTGGCGCCGTGGTAGCGGATCCTGTTCCTCTTCTTCCGGTTTCTGCACTGTGCAACTATTTCAGTTATATTTTTAATTAACGATGCCAAATACTTGTTGTTGTGTACCTGGATGTCATTTAAGAGGAGGACATGCATTTCCAAATGACTTAAAAAGAAGGAAAAGTTGGATCAACGCAGATTGGACGAGAACACGATGATATCGTGGAGTCCATCTCAATCAGCTGTTGTTTGCAAGGCACGTTTTACTGAAAAAGACTACGTGCAGGAAACTATTCATGGTAAAACTCTATTTTCTTTGTGAAATATATAGTTATATATGTAATCGCCATGCGAATAAACCAAAGTCTGTTTACAACCGCAATTATCGTTTTAGAATAAAAGGGGTGGGTAATTCAAGACGTCATAATTTTTTGGATTACGATTCAATGTGATCTGTTTGAGATTTTTTGGTGATTGCTACAATTATAATGATTACTTACAAGAGGTATATCATACTGAGAATTATTTTAGCAGTAATTATGCTAATGTAGTAATGACAGGAATGCATAAGCTATGCCTCATAGACTTTCTTGAAAAATATCAATGACAATGTTAACAGGAACAAAACAATGACATGCTCTCATCTATATTATAGTTATTTAGGTACAAACAATGTACATTTGTTGCATAAGTCTCTCATTGTTTGTCCTTTGGATTTACATAACATACATTGAATCAGGCGAATTATAGTTATCTCGTACCATTGTAAACTCGTACCAATGTCAACTCGTACCACTAAAAAAAAACTCGTACCAATGCTAACTCGTACCACGGTAAATTCATACCATTGTAAACTCGTACCAACTTATTTAAATGTATTCAAATGGTGTTTAATGATGAATATATAGTTTAATTTCACTCAATACCTCTTAAGTCTGTAAAATGTATATAATCTGAAATTACACTGACCAATTTATGCTAATTTTCCTTGTCTAATTGGATAGAGAAAACCGTGGCAGATTGGCTTTGTTGTCTCCCTTGAACAGACCCTTTTTTTTACTTTTACTGACAACTATTTGATTTAATTTTTAATCATTCCAAATAAGTAACATTGAATAGATTTGGGTATTTTTCTATTGTTTCTAAAAGGAATTTTATTTAATGAGAGAATTTATTTCTTGTGTTTTAAAGGTTTAAAATTGGTTATGACCAACAGTTAGAAAGTATGAAATTTATTTTTATACAATATTCAGCTCATTGTTGCACAAAATCATGATTAAGACCATGCTTTAATTCATATAATCAAAAGGTCATTATAATTTTCCCGATTTATATACATGTATAACACCTGTAGCCGAAGATACACCTCGCTCCAGCAACAGAGGAAAATAACTGATATCTGAAAAGGCACCTGAGATCACCCTCAGTTTCAAGTGGGGTTCGTGTGGCTTTTAATTCCAAGCTGTTAAATTATATAACAACAATCAAAATTTAACAATATGATTAACAAGTTGACTAGTTAATAATAACCCAATAATCATACAATCAAAGGAATTTAATATATCAATTAGCATGGTAATTAAGGAATTACATTCGTATTTTTGTCTAAGTTTTCATTAAAATCTGGTATAAAATTCAAGTAATTCAACTTTTTTATTAAGATTACAAAAAAAAATCATAAAACATTTGTATTTTTGAATATATTTTTAATGTACGAGTTTGCAGTGGTACGAGTTCTGAATGGTACGACTTCCCAGTGGTACGAGTTTACGTTGGTACGAGTTTACATGGTACGAGTTTACAATGGTACGAGTTAACTTGCTTCCAATCAGGCAAACATAGTTTTATCCAGATTGTAATGAATAAATCTAGTTAATATTTCGCCAGGTAGTACAAAGTATACATTGCTAATGGAAGTTCATTTAATTATAAAAAAACTAATGTTTTATAACCTTTTTCAGGGCGCAAACCCACCATACAGAGACTTAAGTCTACTGCAATTCCCAGCCTATTTTCCTGGACCAAGCAAGAGACTGAATCGTCCGCAAAAAGAAAAATCAGGGCAGTTTCCTGTGAAAACAAAAGAACTAAACTTGATGAATATTGTAGTAGAAATCTAGAGAAAAGTTTTGATTGTAAAGTAGTTTTCCTGAAGAAGTCATTCATACTGCAGAAAAGATTTATGACTGTCCACCACCAACTGCCGAGCTAATGTTGAGCTTCACAGATGGAATTACGCAAACACCATCAATGCCTATGTTTTCAGCAGAGAATTTTGAAATGAAGACACGTGACACAGCCATTCATTTTTATACCGGTTTAGAGTTGTATACTAAATTTTTATTTGTTTTGACCACACTTGGTCCAGCAGCACATTGTTTGAGATACATATATTTTCAAATTGATAGGGTGTCAGTTGAAAATCAGTTTTTTTATGACTTTGATGAAATTGAGGCATCATACAACCAACTTTGAACTGTCTAGATTCTAGATTGAATCTAGTGTTAAGAATATTGTGTATACATGGATTGTTTTTATATCTAAACAGTGGTGTGAGGCTAACACTATGCCATCTAGTGGTTTAGTCAGGTATTTTTCACCATCCAACTTCAAATTAAAGTTTCCTACGACTTGGATTATTATTGACAGCACAGATTATCCCGTGATAAAACCTAAAGCTCCTAGAGCTCAGGCAACCTTTTCATCAAATAAAAACAGAAACACTGAAAATTCTTGAATGTTCGACACCTGGTGGTTTAATCAACTATGTCTCTATGTCACATAGAGCGAATTATTGGACTTGGCAAAACATACAAAATTCTAATAAATCCTATGAATGGAACTGAAACAAAACTTTCATCTGAAATAACATTTAGTTGTTTTATGTTGTGTAATTTTAGAACTTGTATTGTGCCAAAGGATGCATAAATAAAAGTGACACAATGAATTTTGTTCTGATATATATATATTTACAATTACATGCACATGTAAATTGTAATGCATATAAAAATAAGGAGATGTGGTATGATATTCAGTGAGTTTATCAAACTAAAGTGCATAAGAAATGGGTTTAAGCAGTTACAGGTGTTACTGTCACCGTACAATCTCCAACAATGAGAAAAACTCGTACCATGTAAAAAATTTCAGAGATCTTACAACTAAGTTTTGTTGTCTCACCTTGACTTTGGTGAATTTTTTTATATCTGTTGATGTAAATATAAAAAAGAAGATGTGGTATGATTGCCAATGAGACAACTCTCCACACATGCACAAGAGACCAAATGACACAGAAATCAACAGCTATAGGTCACAGTACGGCCTTCAACAATGAGCAAAGCCCATACCACACAGTCAGCTATAAAAGGCCCAGAAATGACAATGTAAAACAATTCAAACAAGAAAACTAACGGCCTATTTTATGTAAAAAAATGAACAAATATGCAACACATAAACAAACGACAACCACTGAATTACACTTTTATAGGCTGCTGACTTGGGACAGGCACATACATGTACATACAGAATGTGGCGGGCTTAAACATGTTAGCGGGATCCCAACCCTCCCCCTAACCTGGGACAGTGGTGTAACAGTACAATATAAGAAAGAACTATAAAAATCAGTTGAAAGAGGCTAAACTCATCAGATGGATAAATACAAATACAAGTGGACGTGGTCAGGTAGTTGTACATCCAAACAACAAAAAGACACTAAGTACAAATCTGAGAGTTCTCGCAGTTACTGACAGCTAGTTCAAAGCCACTAACAACTGATAAAAAAATCTTGCATCTAAGACTAAATTATCAATCCGTAAGCTCCCTTTAGAATTTTATAAATTTTAGATTTTACATTTCTGAGTTATGGGGTTTTATTCATTAAAAAAGGGGGGATTTTCCAGTTTTTGGACAACAACTCAAAAATGCTTTAAGCAGTTCACATGAAACTTTGGTGAATTACTTATAGCTATTGATGTAATCTCCCTATTGATTTTCATAAATTTCAAATATGACATTGAGAAGAAATTGAACTTTATTTGTTTATAGTCTGGCAACAGATTTATTAAGTATTGCACAACAGCACAGTGTATTGCACAACAGCAAGAAATCTTTAATTGAATACAAATTCAATTCATATAACCAATTTCAAGTTCATTGACTACATTTATTCAGAAACTATAATATGTCAAATATTTAATTACAATCCAAATTCAGACCTGTATCAAGCTTGAATATTGTGTCCATTTTTGCCCAAGCTGTTCAGGGCAGTACCTCTGCGGGTGTATCCAGCTGCGCTCAGCGAATCAGTTTATTTCTTAATTAAGAACTCCTTTTTATACGACCGCAAAAAAATTTTTGTGGTCGTATATTGGTATGACGTTGGCGTCGTCGTCGTCCGAAGACACATTAGTTTTCGCACTCTAACTTTAGTTTAAGTGAATGGATCTCAATGAAATTTTAAAATAAGGTTCAATACCACAAAGGGAAAGTGGGGATTGATTTTGGGGGTTATGGTACCAACAGTTAAGGAATTAGGGGCCAAAAATAAGCATTTTTGTAACTTCCAGACATAACTTGTGTGTAAGTGTATGGATCTCTCTGACATTGTACCACAAGGTTCCATATCACAAAGGGAATGCTGGGATTGATTTTTGGGGGTAATTGCCTCCAAATTTTAGGAATTAGGGGCCAAAAAGGGGAAAAAAACAAGCATTTTTCTAGTTTCATGACAATAACTTGTGTGCAAGTCTATGGATCTCTATTACATTGTATCACAAGGTTCCATATCACAAAGGGAATGCTGGGATTGAATTTGGGGGTAATTGCCTCCAAATTTTAAGAATTAGGGGCCAAAAAGGGGCAAAAAACAAGCATTTTTCTAGTTTCATGGCAATAACTTGTGTGTAAGTGTATGGATCTTTATGAAATTGTACTACAAGGTTCCATATCACAAAGGGAAAGCTGGAATTGAGTTTGGGGGTAATTGCCCAAAAAGTTTAGGAATAAGGGGCCAAAAATAAGCATTTTTCTAGTTTCCAGACAATAACTTGTGTTCAAGTGTATGGATCTCTCTGAAATTGTACTGCAAGGTACCATACCACAAAGGGAATGCTGGGATTGATTTTGGGGGTAATTGCCTCCAAATTTTAGGAATTAGGGGCCAAAAAGGAAAAAAAAACAAGCATTTTTCTAGTTTCATGACAATAACTTGTGTGTAAGTCTATGGATCTCTCTGACATTGTATCACATGGTTCCATATCACAAAGGGAATGCTGTGATTGATTTTGGGGGTAATTGCCTCCAAATTTTAGGAATTAGGGGCCAAAAAGGGGCAAAAAACAAGCATTTTTCTAGTTTCATGGCAATAACTTGTGTGTAAGTGTATGGATCTTTATGAAATTGTACTACAAGGTTCCATATCACAAAGGTAAAGCTGGGTTTGAGTTTGGGGGTAATTGCCCTAAACGTTTAGGAATTTGGGACCAAAAAGGGGCCAAAAAACAAGCATTTTTCTAGTTTCTAGACAATAACTTGTGTTCAAGTGTATGGATCTTTATGAAATTGTACTGCAAGGTACCATACCACAAAGGGAAGGCTGGGATTGAGTTTTGGGGTGATGAATCATAAGGGGGTTTAAAAAATTTGGGGGGGGGATTCTTTTTCCTTTTTTTTCTTTAAAATTTTCCATTTTAAATTGGTTATTTCTGATTTATATATAAAAGCAAATAATAATGATATGGTTTGAATAGGTAAATAAAATTTTTTTAAGTATCTTAGACCACTTTCATTCTGTGTCAGAAACCTATGCTGTGTCAAATATTTAATTACAATCCAAATTCAGTGCTGAATCAAGCTTGAATGTTGTGTTCATACTTGCCCCAACTGTTCATGGTTCGACCTCTGCGGTCGTATCAAGCTGCGCCCCAGCGGAGCATTTTATTTCATTCATAAATTACTTTATGCTTGGAAATATAATTTTGCTTGGAAACTTGAATGAAAGAGTTGACATGTTGCAATGTACATTTACTCTACATAGTTCTATGGTACCAAATCAAAAGTTTATATAAAGAAAGAAGTCAAAGGTTTCCCATCATAGTTTAGTTACATACATTTTTTTTGTACCTGAGGTCGTTGAATATAGATCATTATATAAATAAGGAGATGTGTTATGATTGCCAATGAAAAAACTAAGGATTTTCTTATCCAAGGAATAGATTACCTTAGCCGTATTTGGCACAACTTTTTGGAATTTTGGGTCCTCAATGCTCTTTAACTTTGTACTTGTTTGGCTTTGTTACTCTTTTGATCTGAACGTCACTGATGAGTCTTATGTAGACGAAACACACGTCTGGCGTATTAAATTATAATCCTGGTACCTTTGATAACTAATTTGACTATAAACATAGATAAAAAAGGTACAAACTGGACATAATGCACTAGTTCATAAACAAGTGAGAACAATCGCCTTCATATAGTGCTCAGAATATCATTAGAGAACTCTAAATCTTAAATACTGAAAGCAACCTCTGATAAGTACACTGTACTATGCAAGATAATGATATAACTGGACTTAAAATACACACAACCTGTAATTAACTGCCTTTACAGCGCTTTCGTGCTTTGATTTAAATACTATAAGCAGTAGGTCAACTTTATTTGGAGTATGTAATGATTGTAAGGTGTACATGACTGTCCGTCAGGCATAATCTGATCTTGACCTCATTGTCATGAATCTTTAAAAATGTTAAGTTTATGTGATACTTGTAGTAAAACCTTTATCTTTAAGACTTTCAACATAAAATCAATGGTCAGTAAAACAGGGGAGACATTTCAGCGTGAGCACTCTTGTTAGTGAAGACTTGATATTTTCCAACTTTATTTATTATTTTAGATGTTGACAGTAATCAGAATGCTAGACCATCATCTGGGCCTTTGACATTAGAAACTTTGTTTAGGAATGCTAGCATGCAACAGAACCAGGATCAGAGAATTAGAAGTCAAACTTCAGTGGTGGAAACAAGCAAACCTCCACCCACTTTTCATAGGTATTTAGTAAGAGAATTAAATGTCAAACTTTAGCGGTGGAAACAAGCAAACCTCCACCCACTTTTCATAGGTATTTAGTAAGAGAATTAAATGTCAAACATTAGTGGTGGAAACAAGCAAACCTCCACCCACTTTTCATAGGTATTTAGCATGAAAATAAGGAAATGAGGTATGGTCACCAATGAGACCACTATCCACAAAGGACAAGAATCAAACCAACTACAACCCATTGCATGGCCTTCAAAATGAGCAAAACCCATACTGTATAGTAAGCTGTAAATTACCTGGGGATAACAAAATGTAAAAGAATTCAAAAGAGATAAGTAACAGCCTGGTTAGACATTTTTACCTAACCTCGGCAAGGAAACTTGAATAAAAGATTTAGGGTACACAAATTTCAGTAGAATTTGAAATTATTTGTGGCATGATAATTCTTGTGTTAGTACTGTCCTTTGGAAATGTAAGATATATTGAAAAAGTATTGTAAGTGATTTCATTCTTTCATTTCAGTACATATTTCAATGAAATGAATATGAAAGATATATATTATATACCAACAAGATTTATATTTTGTACCAAACCTCACTCCTATTCAGACGGAGTGCTAAGATTTTTTGTAAGACTTATGTCTCCGAGAAACTCAGTAGTTGTGAAATTTTCATTGAAATCAACCAGATTGACTCTCTTTTGAAAAAAGTTTTGTGTATTTCAGATCTGTCTGTTACAGATACACCTAAGATATTTGTGTATTTCAGATCTCTGTCAGGTGACAGATACACCTAAGATGTTTGTGTATTTCTGATCTCTGTCGGTGACAGATACACCTAAGATGTTTGTGTATTTCAGATCTCTGTCGTTGACAGATATACCTAAGACGTTTGTGTATTTCCGATCTCTGTCAGTGACAGATACACCTAAGAAGTTTGTGTATTTCAGATCTCTGTCGGTGATAGATACACCTTAGACGTTTTTGTATTTCAGATCTCTGTGAGTGACAGGTTCAACTAAGATGTTTGTGTATTTCAGATCTCTGTCAGTGAAGGACACACCCTAAGATTTTTGTGTATTTCAGATCTCTGTCATGACAGACAAACCAAAGATGTTTGTGTATTTCAGATCTGTCTGGTGACAGACACAACTAAGATGTTTGTGTATTTCAGATCTCTGTCAGTGACAGATACACCTAAGATGTTTGTGTATTTCTGATCTCTGTCATTAACAGATACACCTAAGATTTTTGTGTATTTCACATCTCTGTCGCTAACAGATAGACCTAAGATGTTTGTGTATTTCAGATCTCTTTCGGTAACAGATACACCTAAGATGTTTGTGTATTTCAGATCTCTGTCGGTAACAGATACACCTAAGATGTTTGTGTATTTCAGATCTCTGTCAGGTGACAGATACAACTAAGACGTTTGTGTATTTCAGATCTCTGTCATGACGGACACACCTTAGATGTTTGTGTATTTCAGATCTCTGTCAGGTGACAGATACAACTAAGACGTTTGTGTATTTCAGATCTCTGTCATGACGGACACACCTTAGATGTTTGTGTATTTCAGATCTCTGTCAGGTGACAGATACAACTAAGACGTTTGTGTATTTCAGATCTCTGTCATGACGGACACACCTTAGATGTTTGTGTATTTCAGATCTCTGTCAGGTGACAGATACACCTAAGATGTTAGTGTATTTCAGATCTCTGTCAGTGACGGACACACCTTAGATGTTTGTGTATTTCAGATCTCTGTTGGTGACATACACACCTAAGATGTATGCGTATTTCAGATCTCTGTCCTGACAGACACACCTAAGATGTTTGTGTATTTTAGATCTCTGTCAGTGACGGACACACCTAAGATGTTTGTGTATTTCAGATCTCTGTCAGTGACGGACACGCCTAAGATGTTTGTGTATTTCAGATCTCTGTCAGTGACGGACACACCTAAGATGTTTGTGTATTTCAGATCTCTGTCGGTGACAGACACACCTAAGATGTTTGTGTATGTCAGATCTCTGTCAGTGACGGATACACCTAAGATGTTTTTGTATTTCAGATCTCTGTCAGTGACGGACACACCTAAGATGCTTGTGTATTTTAGATCTCTGTCAGTGACGGACACGCCTAAGATGTTTGTGTATTTCAGATCTCTGTCAGTGACGGACACGCCTAAGATGTTTGTGTATTTCAGATCTCTGTCAGTGACGGATACACCTAAGATGTTTGTGTATTTCAGATCTCTGTCGGTGACAGACACACCTAAGATGTTTGTGTATGTCAGATCTCTGTCAGGTGACAGACACACCTAAGATGTTTGTGTATGTCAGATCTCTGTCAGTGACAGATACACCTAAGATGTTTGTGTATTTCAGATCTCTGTCAGTGACGGACACGCCTAAGATGTTTGTGTATTTCAGATCTCTGTCGGTGACAGACACACCTAAGATGTTTGTGTATGTCAGATCTCTGTCAGGTGACAGACACACCTAAGATGTTTGTGTATTTCAGATCTCTGTCAGTGACAGACACGCCTAAGATGTTTGTGTATTTCAGATCTCTGTCAGTGACGGACACACCTAAGATGTTTGTGTATTTCAGATCTCTGTCGGTGACAGACACACCTAAGATGTTTGTGTATGTCAGATCTCTGTCAGGTGACAGACACACCTAAGATGTTTGTGTATTTCAGATGTCTGTCAGTGACAGACACACCTAAGATGTTTGTGTATTTCAGATCTCTGTCAGGTGACAGATACACCTAAGATGTTTGTGTATTTCAGATCTCTGTCAGTGACAGATACACCTAAGATGTTTGTGTATTTCAGATCTCTGTCAGTGACAGATACACCTAAGATGTTTGTGTATTTCAGATCTCTGTTGGTGACGGACACACCTAAGATGTTTGTGTATTTCAGATCTCTGTCGGTGACGGACACACCTAAGATGTTTGTGTATTTCAGATCTCTGTCGGTGACGGATACACCTAAGATGTTTGTGTATTTCAGATCTCTGTCGGTGACGGACACACCTAAGATGTTTGTGTATTTCAGATCTCTGTCAGTGACAGATACATCTAAGATGTTTGTGTATTTCAGATCTCTGTCGGTGACGGATACACCTAAGATGTTTGTGTATTTCAGATCTCTGTCGGTGACAGATACACCTAAGATGTTTGTGTATTTCAGATCTCTGTCGGTGACGGATACACCTAAGATGTTTGTGTATTTCAGATCTCTGTCGGTGACGGATACACCTAAGATGTTTGTGTATTTCAGATCTCTGTCAGTGACGGACACACCTAAGATGTTTGTGTATTTCAGATCTCTGTCTGTGACAGATACACCTAAGATGTTTGTGTATTTCAGATCTCTGTCAGTGACAGACACACCTAAGATGTTAGTGTATTTCAGATCTCTGTCAGTGACGGACACACCTAAGATGTTTGTGTATTTCAGATCTCTGTCAGTGACGGACACACCTAAGATGTTTGTGTATTTCAGATCTCTGTCAGTGACGGACACACCTAAGATGTTTGTGTATTTCAGATCTCTGTCGGTGACGGACACACCTAAGATGTTTGTGTATTTCAGATTTCTGTCGGTGACGGACACACCTAAGATGTTTGTGTATTTCAGATTTCTGTCGGTGACATACACACCTAAGATGTTTGTGTATTTCAGATCTCTGTCGGTAACAGACACACCTAAGATGTTTGTGTATTTCAGATCTCTGTCGGTGACAGACACACCTAAGATGTTTGTGTATTTCAGATCTCTGTCGGTAACAGACACACCTAAGATGTTTGTGTATTTCAGATCTCTGTCGGTAACAGACACACCTAAGATGTTTGTGTATTTCAGATCACTGTCGGTGTCGGACACACCTAAGATGTTTGTGTATTTCAGATCTCTGTCAGTGACGGACACACCTAAGATGTTTGTGTATTTCAGATCTCTGTCAGTGACAGACACACCTAAGATGGCTACAGAGGAACAGGAATCACACAATGTCCCAGCATTATTGAGGCACATTATGTCTTCTGGATCAATGGTGGAGGATATAGAAAGACAGCATCGGGGTGAAATAACTCTCACAGACACTACACCCTCTTCCTCGTTGCCAAATGGAGGCTCATATAAAATTCTTTCTAAATCAAAATCAAGAGACTTGTCTCAAGGAGAAAGTGACTATTGTGGTGAACCTGCGAAGTTTTCTTTATCTGACACAAGCTGTCAGTTTGGAACAAAAAATGTAACACAAGATTTGACAGAAAGATTTGGGGATGCTGTTACTATAAATAGATTAAGTGATAATAATTTGAGAAGGACATCCCCAGCCGAGAATATTAGTGCTAATAGACAATTACAGAGTAGTCTGCAAGGAGTTGGGCGAGTAGGTAGTGCAGAATTGTTAACTCCTGCAGCATTAGAAAAGTCATCTGTGTCAAGTTCTGAAAAGGTAAAAAAAAACCTTTCAAGATAAATCCAAGCATGTTTTGAAGTGTGCTGAGTTGAAAATTACACCCATTCTTGTACAGCTTTTGAATTTTTGGCAGAAAGTGTTATTTTCCTACCAGCATTTTTTCTGGATATGTTTGAGTAGTATCTTGACAGCGTATATTTTTATGTCTTTTACAATTTTTTTTAGTTTAACTTTTCTTAGAGAGTATTATAAAAGTGTTTCTTATTGTAATTTTGATACTGATAATGCCAGGGTTGAACAATTTTTCTTTCCAAGTTGAAGTTTAGAATTTGGACGTAATATTTATCCTTGCCTGACTACTGTGGAGCTATTTATCGTGGATACCAATTTTCATGGATGGAGAAACACTTATATTTTTATGGATAGTTGATTTTGTGGTTTTGCCAAAGTCTGCATACAAATCTATAGAAATTGTGAACTCCGTGAACATTTCAATTCCTCATTCACCTATACCCACAAAATCGATGAAAATAGGTATTCCACGAATAATAATGAATCCACAATAATAAAAGTTCAATTTCCCTGTTTGTTAAAAACCTTGACATAGCAAAAGCAATCGTTCATCATCTCTTTTGGAAGATACAGATAAATTCTCAAAATAAAAAAGGGTCTGTTTTAAATTAAACACTTCATTTTACAAATTACTATACACTAACAAACTCAGGACCTTTTATAGCTTACTATACAGTATCAGTTTTACTTATTGTTGAAGGCAGTACAGTGACCTAAAGTTACTTACATCTATGTCATTTAATGGATATTTGTCTCATTGACAATCATACTGTATCTTGTATAAAAACACAGAGAATCTTATTTATCAGCAAATTGTATATTTTTCCTTTGATATTAGCTTAATATTTTTCTATATCATGGACAGGACCTGATACTCTAAAAATGATAGGCAGTGACGTCAAGTAACAGTGCAGCAATGTCACACGTACATGTCTATCCAATTCAATTTGATATGAAATGAAAGCTACTTCATTCATACAACCTAACAACTATCACAATGTTTTCTACGCCTAAAAATAGTTTTACTATTTCATTTTATTTCATATCCTCAACCAAAAAAACATATTGTTAAGATAAAATTACTGATATAAAGAATAATGACATTTTATTTTTTGATACTGACTTCATCAGCTCGCCTTTGTGGGCTCGCCTTTGTGGACTCGCTTGATATTCTTACTGATAAAGTCAATATCAAAAACAAAAAAATGCTGTTATTCTATATATATCATATACTGCTAAGAATTTGTACTGATAATTATCAATTTAAAAGATACTAAAGATCAAAGAAACATAACTGCTATGTAATAATCTTTATTTTATTTTTATTTTTTTACAACTTCACTTTTCTTGTCCTTTGAGAGGAAGTCTGTTTCTTGTGATACATTGGTTATTACATAACTATATAAATTTATTATATAACTAGTCTGTAAATTTTATATATATAATTAATATCAAAAGAATATTGATTCAAATACAATATTTCAATAATATTAACAATAAAACAGATGTTTCACTGAAGTTTATATAGTAAAGTTAAATAGTACAGAAGTTTTTGTTAGAGAGTCTGTGATGCATCATGATTTCAATAGATAATTTGTTTTTAATTTAAGTTTATTAAGTTTTTGCACTTAACAAAAAAATCTTTTTATAGAATGAATTTGTGGAATTTTTTCAAAGTATTATTTTAGATTGCTGCCAAATTTGGATATATGGTCTTATTTTAAGATGGAATCATATAGATTTTGAGGTCAATACCTCTAAAGTTAAGGTCACATGTAGTAAGAATAGTTTGAGAAGTTTTTGGGGATAATTTTTTTTGATAACTCAAGAATATTACTTTGGAGTGGAACAAAATATATTGATGGCCATGCATATTAAGACGAAGATTTCTATTAATGTTTAGGTCAATACCTCAGTTCTATGTCATAGTAAATGAAATAGGAAAACAAATTGTAAAATAAGTATTTTCAGAAGGTAACTTGAACCTTACAACAAATTGGACATGAACGAATTAAGTTATTTCATTCATCTAACATTGACTGTTATTATATACCTCGGGAAGTGTAAGATAAAAGCAAATTAGGAAAATAAGGATTATAAAAGACTTTGAATGATAGTTATATTAAAATATAGGATTATGTCAATTGGTCAGTACCTATGTATGAAAGGACACCTATATTTGATATGTCCGAATCATTGCAAGGTGTATATATATATTGGTCTTACATATGCCACATACTTTTTAAGTTTTGAGGAGTATTTGTTGGTCTGACATAAGTGGTCTTGTGGGAAACTACAGTCGAACCCCAGCTGGGATAACCAAACACTTGAAAATTGTCATTTGCTGCTTCTCTACTAAGTACGCAGCATTTACTGAGTAAGAGCAAAGACTGGTCGCCTTGAAAACAGAACAATGTATCCCGATAGGGCAACATTTCTTCCCGCAGAACCTTGTGAACTAGCATTTTAAGAATCTAGTACAATGCAGAGTTTATATTCATATCCAATTATCATGTTCTAGCTATCTAGTCATCCATTCATCTGATATATATCAGTTGTTATATGGATTAAATGAATTGAGTATACTTCCTTAAATAATGGCTTTAATTAGATATAAGAAGATGTGGTATGAGTGCCAATGAGACAACTCTCCATCCAAGTCAAAATTAAGCTTGTATTCATCCTCAATCGGTCATATTAAATGTCACATTTTTTCAAGAAATAAAATCTGCATTAATTTCTGATATAATTTGCTATAATATACAGAGAAAATATACCCTTGTATATATCTAAGATTTATACAAATATTAACAGGGCAGTGTTCCATCAACGAAGCAGCTGACAGCAGCAGCGGCATCACTCAACTCTGATGTCTTATTATCACCGATGGCATTTGTCAGAGGCTCACAAAAATCTCCATCATCATCATTATCAGGTATGTATGTCGTTTCATTGATTATTATTGGTTGTTTAATGTCACATTGTATGTCTAGTGATTGATTATTATTGGTTGTTTAATGTCACATTGTATGTCTAGTGATTGATTGATTATTGGTTGTTTAATGTCACATTGTATGTGAATTGGTTTACATTCTAGCCAAAGTCAATGTTAAAATTTGAGGCAAAGTTCACCTTTCTATAAATTTGAGGTAGAAAGTTATCTTGAAATGAATTCCTGTATTATTTTATCACTTTGTCTGTAATATCTATACCTATAGGGTGGTAGAGGAATCATATTGATTGTCATAAATATGATAACTGCTACTCCTCATATTAAACTTTTTCATTCCGTCATCATAATTGTACACAATGATGGTGAATATTTTTGCCTTAACTTGAATAGTTTTGTTATAAAACAACTGGCCAGTAGTTTGAATCAACATAATTTTTCAGAATTAAAAGTATCATTCTATTTCTATCTTAGTTTATTCTGGTTAAATAATATGGCTGGAAATAGACCTTAAGAATGCAGTTAAGCTAAAAAAATGACTAAAATCAGAATACCATGATACTATTGCTAGCATCACTATCTTATACATACAGATGTCAGAAAAAACCTGTAGCTTGGCATATTTTCTATTATAAATATGTTGTTTAGATGGATAAGACATAATTCTATCAGTAGTCTGTCACAATTCAGATCATCTCATTTGAAAGACACAATATTTTTTTTTTGTTTCACCTGGTAAACTAATGTGTGATATTGGGGTTTAAACTTTTGGCAATGCATGTTAATATTTTTGTGATTATCAATTTCTATTCTTTCATAACAGATGAGCAAGGAAAACTGAATAGAAGTAATGATTCAGGGTCATCAGCAGAGGGCAGCACTAGTCAACTTCCTGTTGCAGCTTTAACTAAAGAACAGTTACAGCAGGCAATTGTACATCTCATGAAGGTAAATATATAAAATAAAAGTATGCCCTTGAAATATATAATACCTTTGAAATGTCTAGTCAAGGACATTTTATGTCATTCCAGAGACCTGTATTTGTCTATATATATGAGCTGTGGATTAGCAAAACTCTCACAAATACAGGTCTCTGGAATGACAGCATTTATATATATATTACTATATAAATGCTGTCCTCTATGAAATGTGCCTTCGTGTTCTCTGTGACATCAATTTTAAACAGCAAAGGTTCAATGAATGCTACAAGGCACAAAATACAGATTCTTTAAAAGTTTATCATATAAAAATAAGGAGATATTAATATTAACAATATTAAGGATCGTGTTCGTTTGACATCAAAGAAGAGGGGTTTATTTCATGCTTTGGATTTTGTAACAATATTTTCTCAATAAATTGTTAAAAATCTTGGAAAACAATTGGATGCTCATACAATACACAAATCTGTTAGATTCATTAACATTTATTATGCAAAAATGAAATTAAGAATGCCAAATTCATTATGTAATAGATCATGTCATAAACAAAGAAATAAACATACCAAAATGAGTGGCCTATCTTCATGTGGTGTTCAACAGTCCACCTTCCACACAAAGGCACAATTCAAAGAGGACACTGTTTATAAGTTTTTTTTGAGGAAATTTTTATGAAATATTGGGATATTAATTTTTCATTTTCAACCATTTTATCCCAAAGAATGCAATAACACCATGCACTTGAAGTATTTTGTATTTTTGACATTTGAGTGTTGAGGAACTTAATATCTTAAAACATATTCTTATAAAGAATGTTTTGAACAAATCTTACTGAAATTTGTATACATGCTTAATATGCTCACTTTCAATATTGCTGAATTTCACTTTTGCCATTCAGTTGTTGATGAATTGTTTATGTGGAAAATATCGGCACATTGACTCAATTTACTTTCAATCAAATATTTGTAATATTTTCATTATGCTATGATTGTTGAAAGTAAGTTTTCTATAAAAAAAACCTTTTTTTTGGCAAATTGCAGGGCTCATCTTTCATTGAATTACAAATGAATAGAGAAACTTTGTTTAATTAAATTTTGATGTATAATTCTAACTTTTTTTTATTTTTAGACAGATCCTAGTTTCATAAATACATTACATGAAGCATATTTAAGCAGTCTGAAAGAGCTGTCCAAATCGTAACACAAGCTACATGCTTGACTGGTTTACCCCTTCAGGAAGATCAAGAGAAATAAAATCAACAGACCATGTGAGAAAACTCATTGTTGAAGATTGATGAGTCAGTTGTATCATATCCATATGATTGTTGTGAAATCATAGTCATTCAATGTATTATCTCAGATGTAACAGAAAAGATGCTGGTATTTGTATTGTTCAAGCAATAATTACAAATCAGTATTAGACATGTGTTATTTTTGTTTCAATGTGATATCTCATGATATTTTGTTATAAATACAATTGTTAGTATATGATGGTAAAAATATTAATTGTCATGTGAAAAATTGTAAGAAAAGAGCAAAGTAAAAAAGCAAATATTGAAGATCTCAAGAAAAAGCAATGTTGACGGTGTTCTATAAATAGATATGACATTGTTTACACATACAATGTTACAATCAATCATAGTGACACATTATTGTATGTAATACAATTCACAAATCTTGACTGAATATCATTTAGAACATGTTTAATTTAGATTGAATACCTGATGTATAAGTTGCCATGTAATATTATATTTTTAGCTTCATACTGTAAAATTATGGCTTGAGCGTAATATCTTTTCTTACAAGGAAATATTTGCAGCTGTAATTCATGTAATTATAGTACAAGACAGAATTTGCAACACAAATATATTTTAAATAATTTTGAACTTAAGGTATTTTGCCAAAAATTAGTTAATTATTTTGGCATTAGAGACAGTATAATAACTGTCCTATTTGCTTTGGTTTTATTTGCCTTAGATATGAAAAATATTTTGGACACTTATATAAATCAATGATATGGTTGTGTTTTTGAATTAATTTGATTAATGAATCGTTTCATTACAACATATTTAAAACCAAAGAAGACATTTCAAAACTTGAAGTCATTGATTGTACTCCTTAGTTCTATATATGTATTAATGAAACACTTGTATTTGTGACTCATATTTTTTTCATTCATGTATCCTGCTTCACAGAAGCTAGTATAACTTAACATCAATCATTAATCCTATCCAAACTTCAAAGTATTATCTATCGTAAATCATAAGAACCTTCTCTGAATTTGTAGCCAAGCATTCATGGTTGTAAAAATATGTAATTTATTTCCTCAGTCTGTGTTAATTGAAAAAAATGTTAAACTGATTATATAAGGGAGATAACAAAACATTGCCTTCTGGTGAGGGAAATTATAAATTGTCTCCCTTAGGTAATTTGACTGATATCAGAAGAGTTATTTGCCCTTTCAGATATGTGATAATCATGATTGTGTGAATAGCATGGTGACCTACATATCCCTCTTCACAATCAAACGTCATAGTGGACAATAAATACATTGTGTTCTTTAGAAGTGTATCTTTAGTGTTTCAAGATCAATGAAAATGCTATAAACTATTTGCAAATATTTGATCATTTTGTAATTTAAACTAGTCACTGCTTAATGCCAAATTTTGTATAGTTGTAAGAATCATTTGTAAATATTTCCCATCAATATATTCCTTATTATTTAGTGAGGAACGAGTGAATTTTGCTTCTATGTGAAAAATAAGACACATTGGCAAGAATGTTTAAACATAAGTGATGATGTAAAATTTCGTACTGAAGGTTCTCTCCGGACTCCAGCTTTATCCACCAATAAAAACTGACCACCATGAAATAGCACAATAGTGTTGATCTTTATGCTATTTACGGTATTTTCAATAAAGGCTATTCCATTAAAATAAATGTGGTGGGATGGAAAAGAAGATTGATTTTTGGACACAGGTCATGGCCAATTTATGGTTGTATGTCCATTTATTGAATGCAAACCGTCTCCAGAATGTATATTGTTTATTCAGGGATTTGTAAGTTCCTCTTAATCCATCCAATCTTTTTAATTTTAATTTGACTTTCATTTTATCACTTCTACAGATATTAATTGCTAAATGTTTGTTACTTTTATGATACTGCCTTATTTCTTTATGTAAGATTTAAAGATGTTTTAAGTATATATATAAATATATCAGTGAGTATTTTACATCCTGAAGAAAGGAACTTTAGGGAAATGAAAAATTAGCAGTGAAATTAATCCTCCCACTCCTCTCCACAGAAAGCAGATAAAAATATAATTTCTATTATAAAATTTCTTATCTCTGCATATAGTGGATTTGCTCTCAGTATGCGTTTTGCTCATTGTTGAAGGTCACACCGTGACCTATTGTTGCTAACCTTCTACATCATTTTTGTCTTTGGTGGAGAGTTGTCTCATTGGCAATCATTCCACATCTTCTTATTTTTACATTTTATTGTTTTTTAAGTATTGTTGACTTGTAAAATTATCTCAGGGTCACTGCATTTGAAATTTAGGAATATAAATAATCCTTTTCATGTATGAACTTTGACCTGTATGTGCATTAGACTATTATGGTGCATTTTATTTTTACAGTGACCAAGCTTATTAACACAACATATCCTTTATTATTTTTATTGATTCTCAAATATTAAATAAAAAATATGAAAACTATTTTCACAAAAAATCTAAGGAAAAAAATATAAGAATAGTCTAAAAGATTTTTTGTGAAAAGAGCAACTGTATTTTTCTGACAGTTTAGAGATTATAGAGGTTGAACAAATATTGACATCATCAATTATATTCTCGCACAACAAATGTACATTCTAAATTGAATTCAATCATCAGAGTGTTCAAAATTTACCAAGAGTTAACATACATTGTTGGAAGAATACATATTCTGTTATGCAGAACAGCCAGTCTCTCCTTGTTGTATTTTGATGTACTAAGTTTAAGTTACACGCAATGAAGTAAAGGAGTTCATTGAAGGAATTATTAATAATATGCTTTCTTCACATATTTGATTGTTGTCATTCAATAGATCCCTGTATAGCATGTCAATCATTACATACACATACTTATCAATAACTTTGTGTATGTCAACATAGAGAAATGTGTATTTTACTTTTTATCATAAATTATTTAGTGTATTTTTTAAAAGGCATTAAATGCTATTTGTATGAAAGGTGATGATGGTCAAGACTAGACGATAACATACAGATACATTAATCTTTTGCTTTGTTCTCATGTACAATAATATGTAAGGAGCAAGTTACATAACATTTTGGATATTCGATAGAATTTTCAGTACAGTATGCTTCATCATATGTGTTGATTTGTGTATATTATGATGCTTCATATGTGTTGATTTGTGTTTCTCATGCTGTATTGAATGTGTATATGTGTCTGTTTTCAGTAATGTGTGATATCAATAGTTTTGTTTGTGTCGTGACAGTTTACATGTGCAAGGGAATTCAATCAGTTGAATTTCTTTTTCATCATTTATAATAATTGGCCTGTGGCTTTATTTCTTCTTAAGTGACAGTGTTTGAATAACAAGATAATTTATTTTATATGGCCTTAGTATCCAAAAGCAACAGTTTCCACAAACTGAAAAATTGCCTCCCTGAATATAATGAATCTGAATTAAGTTACTTCCTGTGAATGCTGGTTATGTGTGTTAGATTTGTACATTTAGGTTGTATGATCAATGTCATATTATGTTTTAACCCTTTACCAATATCCCTTTGTGGACCTCTACGGGATATTTATTACTGTGGTAGATACAACATCATACACATTTTGAATAAGTTTTGTCAACTATTACTGTCTCTTTTTATTGATTTACCTGTTAAAACTATACTTCTGTCACCAACCAAAACTTCCAAATGGTTTTGTTAAACTGGGTTTCACTGTATTAGATGACTTTAGCTTATATGTTTATCATTTTCAAGCAGCTTTAATACATTTTTTATGAGTAATGTGATAAAGGTCAGTGATGTGTTCAAAACTTTCAATTTGTCAACAAATGAAGTTCGAACAAAGTGGTAATGTTTTCTTTTAAAGAATTCTGACATTGAAGTGATGCAAGAGCTTATTTGACCTTTGAACTTTGTGGGTATTCATTGTATTAAGCTATTAATATATAGCCAGATAAAATCTGAGAATAGGCAGAAAACTTTGTATGATGATGATCAGAGGAGTATGGCTGTTTTCAAAATGAGTCCATATTAAATGTGTTGTGATAGTGTATGAAAAAGTGTGTGACTGTTGAAGTTTGTATGTGTTTTGTTGAGTGGAATGTATTTTTGAAGAATGATTAAAGAACAGCAGCCCCTCTCTTACCCTACAGTTCACACCAGCAACCCCTCTCTTGCCCTACAGTTCATACGAAAACCTTTCCTTTAGATTTCAGCACTTTAACTATAGAGGGACTACTGTTCTGTTTTTAATTGTAGATTTTCAAACCTACCTGCAGATCATTCTCAGTTTGCCCTCAGATAGGTTTAAAATGTCTATTTTACCAAGAATGTTTGCAATATAGGAGTTTGATTTCAAGAATTTATTTTAAAGTTAAGTTCAGGTAATATAAGTATTGAAAGTCTGTTTAGATATAAAAGTTATCCTCAATGAATTGTAACTAACCTTGCCAATGACCTCAAACTCCTACATTGTATCAATACTGAGATTGAATGAGATTTGACAGATTAAGTGGACAATGTGTTAATTACATTCAGAGCAGTGACAGGTTATTTCCATCAAATGGACAAATCAATTTATTTGAAATTCTTCAATGACTGAATTGTTATGGGTCAAAAACATTAAGTACACTGATCTGAATGTTTGGGAAAACCTATTTGTACATATGATCATGTGATCTCATACAATTAATTCTTTAATAATCTTATAGGTGTTAAGATCTTGAAATATTTGTATTGGAGACAAACAGGTGAACAAGTTTTTAAAAAGCGTTTTTAACAATGGCTGAATATCAAACATTTTAAACAAATTGCGAGAGTTAGAATTTATTGAATTAAATGCATAATGCTTATAAAAAAGGAAGAATTTTTTTTTACATTGACTCATGACAAAGACACAGTTACAACAATTGTATTGATAATGTTTGAGATTGGAGATGGGAGACAACCTATTGTTTATTATTTAATATGAAGCATGTAGAATTGTCTTCCTTTTTTTTCTATCCATTTATTTCAAGTTCTTTGTTTTTGTTATTATACCGGTATAGTGCAATCTTTAGCAATGCAATATACCTTTTGATAGTTGCCATAAGTATCGTGCTCAGTTTTAGATATTTGGATTTAAACACTGTACATCAAACATTATTTGGATTTAAACACTGTACATCATTTGGAAGTGTTGCCTACTTGATAAAACTGTTAACCTAATTTAAGAAAAATAGAATTAGAGTAAACAAGCCTTAGCACCATATTGTTAAAATAAGTGATCTGTCATTATTTTTATACGCCCGTTTACGGGACGTATTATGGTATACCGTTGTCCGTCCGTCCGTCTGTCCGTCCGTCTGTCCGTCGTCAACATGTCGGACATTAACTCAAAAATGCTTTAACCAGTTTGCATAAAACTTTGGTGAATTGTTTATATCTATTGACGTGAGCTCCCTTTCGTTTTTAATAAAATTTAGATTTTACGTTTCCGAGTTATGGGGTTTTATTCATTAAAAAAAGGGGGATTTTCCAGTTTTTGGACAATAATTCAAGAATACTTTCACCAACTTGCAAGAAATTGTGGTGAATTGTTTATATCTATTGACATGAGCTCCCTTTCAATTTTTATAAATTTTAGATTTTACGTTTCCGAGTTGCAGGGTTTTATTCATGAAAAAAGGGGGGATTTTCCAGTTTTTGGACAAAAACTCAAAAATGCTTTCAGCAATTCTAATGAAACTTTGGGGAATTGTTTGTATGTATTGATGTAAGCTCCCTTTAGAATTTTATAAATTTTACATTTTACATTTCTGAGTTATGGGGTTTTATTCATTAAAAAAAGGGGTGATTTTCCAGTTTTCGGACAATAACTCAAAAATTCTGTCACCAATTCTCATGAAACTTTGGTGAATTGTTTATATCTATTGATGTAAGCTCCCTTTTTATTTTCATAAAATTCTAATATGACATTGAGAATTAATTGAACTTTATTTGTTTATAGTCTGACAACAGATTTACTAAGTATTGCACAACAGCAAGAAATCTTTAATTGAATATAAATTCAATTCATATAACCAATTTCAAGATCTTTGACTACATTTATTCAGAAACCTATAATATGTCAAATATTTAATTACAATCCAAATTTGGACCTGAATCAAGCTTGAATATTGTGTCCATTTTTGTCCCAACTGTTCAGGGTTGGACCTCTGCGGGCGTATCTAGCTGCGCTCAGCGAAGCAGTTTATTTATGTTATAATAGGTTGACATTGGATTTAATTTGGAAGTCTTACTTTCATCCAGTTTTCCCGTCTTTAGAAGCAGGTATAATTGGGGTTCCACATGTTTAATGTACAGTGTTCCTAAGAGATGATATGTTTCTTTCAACTTTAGAAGTATGATAAAGTGGTCAAATATATTGCCTTTTTTCAAAATATACTGTGAACTAAATCCTAGTCTGAACATTTTTACCTAGTGACTGGATTTTTCAAAGAATAAATTTGGAATGCTTTAATTAATTGTTTTTTAGATATGGAAATCAAAAAAGTAATTCAAGAAGTCTTAACTTTAGTACAAAATGTATGTAATTAGGAATTTTTTTAAGATCCGTTTAAGCTTAAAGGAGATTTCATTCTCAATTAAAATATTTTCCGGAGTAAAGAGAAACAATTCATATTCTAAGTTCATATAATGTCAACTTTCATATATAGGAACCTTCCAGACTTTTCAAAAGTTTGAAATCTCCCTCTGACAACTTGTCTCCTTAGGGGTCTCATATCTCCTTCTTTGGAAAATCTCCCAATTACTTTCATTTTCACCACTATTTGATAAATATGCTATCATACAAATCAATCTGAAATAGGTTCTTGAGAAAATACTTACTCATATTCCCTCAGAGGGAGGTTACCACATTGGAGGTTTGAAAAGTTACCATCTATGAAAGTTGTTATATATGTGTTGTTCTAATGTTTTATTTTTAAATGACCAAACTGCTTTTGAAATGTTTGAATTGGAAAAGTCTTGAATATCATGAACAAGATTTAAGAAATGTTTGTTAGTTCTTTTCTGGATGTCAGAATATGATGCAAATGTTTGTCTGGTTTACAATATAAATTGGCCCTAAATTTTAATTTTTAATACTTTTAAGATTTGTTTTGTCTTCATCTGTATATTCTTATTTTGAGGTCCTCGCTATTGCAAAGTTTGAAAAATGAAATCCTGTTTTGTGGATAGTGGATGAAAAGTTGATTATACATGGATTACAGACTAGAAATATTAGCTATTAAGTAGTTTCATTGAGCAAGTCCTATTCATTAAAAAAAAAATTGACAAAAACAGAATATATTTTAAGTGATGGGTTATTGAAAACTTAGAATCATGTTGGAAACTGTATAAAGATATTTCTGTTTTCAGAACAGCTATTCTGTTAAGATATTAGTAACTGGTTCAAAAATCAGGTTATATAACTTGTGGAGATATTCATGAAAACTGCATATTAACAACAATTGAATTCTACAACAACCACTAGACAAACACAATTTGCTTTCTGATCCTTTTTAACAGACTCATTAATATATATTGAAAGCAGTATGGTCATTCTTTGTTATGATTCTTATCATGATTATAAGATCTTGTTGTGAAGTTAAGCTTCACATGTGTGTTCAGTACAGTAAAATCTTGTTGTGAAGTTAAGCTTCACATGAGTGTTTAGTTCACAAAGGTAAAAACAAATTGACAGCCGTCTTAAAGAGTTAATGATAAAAAAAAGAAAAAGAAGTGAAGTCTTAAAAAGAAAAAGGACTTCTAAAAAGGAGTGAAATATAAAAAAAAGGTCTGTTGAAAATCTAGTTAGTAATATGTTACAATTTAAATGGGTTGCTTTTGTTCCTGAAAAAACATCAATGATGATATATGGGGAAAATTTTTTTTAAGTAATTTTGATTTAAAATAAAAGTGCTTTCAGATCAGCACAATACTTTTACTTTTAGAGTAGTCCTAATAGAAATACTTAAATTTCCTATAATGGAATGATAAATGTGGTGGGAAAAATATTTGTCCTAATAAAGGTTTACAATCAGAAACTACATATTACAAGTTTTAAAACATTATTATGTTGGAGACCTAAACTTGGTATAGTTTTGAATATGTGATAAGAATTAGGCCTTTTTAAAGAGAAAACCAAATCGCTTTTACCTACAAAAGCATAATTTCAACTGTGTTATTTTTAATCGGTAGGTAAATGAGTTCTTTGTTTACTTTCTAAAAGTTTCAATTACAAAATGCTACTGGTGCTAAAAAATTGATCAAAATATTTCAACAAATATAAGTTTTATAAAAATTTGGCTTATGCATCACATATTTGCTGGACCTCCTTTATAAATAGGAGAAATTCAGGTGAAAAGTAGCAAAGAATTAAAAACCAAATATATAAAGTGTTATGCTATATAAAAGATAGTGCTTTTACTTGACTTTTTAGGTTAAGAGTTTGTTTTATTGCAATTATTTTACTGAGAAAGGTAATGAAGTCACGGTGTTGACAGTATTGAAATAAAACCTGCTGTTTAAAGTGTATGGTACAAGAGAACTTTGATTATGTATACTTTGTTGAGATCTTTTTTGATTATGATTACAAGTCCAATAAGAGTTACCATAAGTACAGGACTATTGGAAAACACCTGGTGATAACAAGATCTCAGACAGACAAAGAGATTGTTTTTGGCTTTTATTTTTATACATTTGTTTGTTATAGTAGGTTTATTTTACTAACATTATGTTGTATTATTTGTTTTCGTTATAATTAAATGTCAATTAATAATGGTCCTAGAACTTGAAAATCATATTTATTTTTAATTTGCCCCATTTTTTTTATGTTATACATTTAAGTAATGATTTAGCCATTTCAATTAATTCTTTAATTCCCAATGCTCTATCATTTATTGAATGGTTAGCCTTTAAGGGCATACGATACAGTTACAGGAGAGATAATGACGTAGCTAACATAATGTTATTTTTTGCAACATCAAACTGTGACATTTTGGGAAAAGATGCATTTTTCTATTCATTTTAACCATTAGCTTGAAGAAGAGCACATTGACCCCTATTTTTTAAAATGACATTTGGCTTGTTTATATATGGAGATTTTTTATACCAATTTTTATGAACAAATCATTGAT